TGAGGATAAAAATTGATTTAGAAGTAACTGTGATATACTTGGCCGAGGAGGACAGTAGACTGCCGAGATAATTATAGGAATATGATTTATTGAAATTGAAACGTTTGTTGCTTGGATAGAGGGGAATTGAAAGCACGGTAGGGCATAATGTTGGATTGAAGATGATATTAAGATAGCGGAGCCAGCATGAGACGTCCCATCGGGGTGATTGGTACTATAAACATTGTAGCCAGGAAAGAAATGTTTAGAATTGTTTGTATAGTGGGTTTCAGTGATAAGAGCTACATCAATTTGATTGTCTAAAAGAAAGTTTAATAGTTCTGGTTCTTTTTGTTTAAGGCCGTTAGCATTCCTGAGGATGATTTTAAGATTCTTATTGTTAATTTGTTTATTTATCATTATTTATAATTAATTTATTAATGACAGTGGTAAGTAATTGAATTAGGGGATTAATGAGTTGTTTGAATTCTTTAAGAAGGATGATAGTTGATTATTTGATATGATGTCGGGAGGATTGGATTGGGGTTCGGTTTTATTTGAGTTATTTTGAATCTGAGGATTTTGGGTAAGGTTAGGTTAGGTTAAGTTTTATTATCAGTGATGTTAGGTGGGGTGGAAAGGGTCCTTACACTGGATTGAATCCCCTGTATGTTAACATTAGTGTTTTAGTTCATATAATTTTTTGGAATTTGAGTTTAACTTTAGATTGAGACGTTGTAGGCTCTTGTGGACTGAACAGCCACGGTAATTCGCTCTGTGATTACCTCCACACAAGGCACAGGTAGCAGGTGTATCTTTTGATTTAGTGCACTGTTGGGTAGGGTGGAAATCGGCGCAGCGAACACATCTAGGAGGATGAGCACAATAACTTTTGGAGTGTCCGTACTCCTGACAGTTGGAGCATTGAATGATTTCTTTTTTTTTGTGTGGCTCTTCGACCGTTATTTTGGTGTGGAGTATTGATGTTTGTTTGAATATCTCATTGTTGATTTGGGCAGGTTCTAGGTCAACAAAAAATATTGGAAGGGGGCGTTTGGTAGTGTTGTGAATAATATTCGTGACGTGACGGACTGAGTAGCCGAGTTCTTCAATAGCGACGCCAACTTCTGAAGTTGGAGTTGTGGGGTGTAAATTACGGATAACAATACGAAAAGCTTTGTCTTCGCGGGCGTGATAGGTATGGTATTCTGCTTTACCTTATTTTAAATATTTAATGACCTCTCTGTATGAGTCGGAGTTGGTGGTGCTAATTTTTAAATTATTGGCTGATGATTTGAAGCTGAAGTTTTGAGGACCAATCAATTTTATTAAATGATTACGAAATTAGATGAAATCATTAACGTTGCGTATGAATATCGGAGGGGGTAGCGGAGAGTGACTGACTTGAGCTTCGGGATTATTTGAGTTGATTATAGGCATATCAGACGTTTCGGCAGAATTTTCGATGTCATGAGTATAAAGAGAATTATATCTATTAGTGCTAACAAAGATAGGCTTAGATTTCTTTATCTCGGCTTTTTCAATTGAACTGGTTGAGGAGAGGATCCGTTTAGACTTGTTTTTGACTATTTGAAAAACATCATTTTCGTTGTCCGAAAAAACTTCATTTGAAGTGTTGGATTGATTTGAAACACTCTGTATGCGGTTATTATTTGTATTCGAGATCGATTTATTGTTATTGGTTTGCGTATTAGCAGTGTGTGTGCTAGAAGTTGATGATTTATCGAGCGCACGCCTAGATAATGATGAGTTCATTATGATCGAGGTGTGTGGCTATTTGTGTACGATAGCGGGCTTATCGCCCGTAGGCGCGGGTTTGGAACGCGATACGGTAATTATAATGGTGGACTTAGTGCTTAAATAAAAAAAAAGGTACTTTACCGTATGGTTAATTCCACGTCGTAATTGCTGATTTACTCACTGCTATCGCGAGCTATTAAAACGTATCGCAAAATATGCGTGTGACCACTACGGTGTCTGGACACGAACTGCGAAAAAAAAAAAAAAAAAGTAACCTAACAAAATTATGTTATAAAAATTTAAATGCTTTAATGTGCTGTCATTTTATTATGAATTGTGATACTTGAACAATAAAAATATCATTTTGTAGTTTAAAAAATATAGTTTTCTACACTTGTTCCCTCTACTGGGGCAAGTGCATGATTAAAAATTTTTTTTTTTGTAAAAGTTATGAAAGTAGATCAGTTTTAAGAACAGATTTATATTCTTGGTATTTTATATAATGGATATCATCTACTACTAAGGTCATAAATACTAAAATGTAAATTTATTAATCAGTTAAATTTGAACTTGTAAATTTGGTGTTTCACTTATCCCACCTGACCTTACCTTCATTAGAGAAACTAGAACCAGGCATATTTATTTTGGATTTTAACGATTGTGCCTTATAAATCTCTATTGTACTGCTTTCTTTATAACTATAATCTAACTCGTGGTCAAAATCTGCAAATGAATTAAAAAATGAAAACTTTAATAGTTATAACCAATTTATTAAAACAAAAATTGTAAACATACTATAATTAGTATCTGTTTTCTGCAATTTGGGTGAAGTCATTAATGATATTGAGGTATCAAAATCTACCTTCCTAGCATCTAAATCATCTAAAAAACAATTAACCAGTTATTAAAATAAATATAACAATATATATTATTTAAGTACTTATATAAATTAAATCATGTATATAAATATTAAATATTCAATAGGTGTTTACCATTTTGTTTATTTTTATAGACTAGCTCGACTAGACTCAATGTCGTCGAGTGAAAGCCCTGATCTAGCTGGCGCGGATTCATCAAATTTGGTAGTAATACTATTACCTTAATGACCGCATGGTGTGGGAGATAATAAGTAGGAGAATCATATGTCAGGTTAACTGCTTGCATATGGCCCATGAGTAAATATTCTCACATGAATTCATTATATTGCTGCTCCAAAGCCTTATCCTTGGCAAATCGTCTCTCCAGATTAAAAAATCTTTTTTGAGCCATGATTCGAGAGTCTCCCAATAGAGACAGGTTTTGATTTAAAGGCTATCTAAACACGAAGTTACCAGTCTCATCACGAGAGAATGTAGATATAAAATGGTCTTGAGAAATCTGATCTCCTTGGCAACATGCCTTGTTCTTGGTAGTGAAAAGTGTCAATGCTGAGTGGCAAATTGTAGATGAGGTGGATATATAGTTAACTTAGGCTCAAAGAATCGAAATGATTGCCAGTGACAATCCAACCAAGCTTGATCTTGTACGCGGCTAAATGTTCACTAATAAAGGGTGTCCCATAAAGTGCGCAACTTTTAGATAATTAATAACACAGTTATGTATCAATCAAAATGTATTTATTTTTATATATTTACATTCAATAACATCTCCGATTTAATGTTGGAAAACAATATTTGGCATATGACCACCTCCACTAAGTCGGCATGTGTTGACGCGCTCGATGAAATTGATAATAACCCGCTCACAGATGTCTGGTGTGACGTCGGCAATGACGCGTAAGATTTCCGCTTTCAGTTGTTGAATGGTACACACTTTAGATTTGACATAACCCCACAAAAAGAAATCACAGGAGGTAAGGTCGCAGGACCTGGTAGGCTACTCCTGGTCACCTCGCAGTGAAATCAGTCTTCCCGGGAATTTTTCTTTGACAATCTCAATTGTTTCACGTGAGTTGTGGCATGTCCTGCCACCTGTTCCTAACCGTCCTGTTGAAACCACAAGTTTTGCATATCAATATTTTGAAGGAAAGGCCATAAAAAGTTGGTTAACATGTGACGATAACGTTCTCCATTGATTGTAACCGTAACACCTTCGTCGTCCTCAAAGAAAAACGGGCCTATCACTCCACCGGCCCAAAAACTTTAGGACCGTGTTCTAACTTGGGGGGGGGGGGGGGGGTGCAAAAACCTCAAATTTATCAGATATTTTTCAGTTTTTTCCTTATATCTAGTAAACTAATTATATTTTGTGTTCCATAAAGCAAAACAAAGTTGTAGACCACTAAATTTGCTAAAATTTGGTAGGTTAGAAAATGTATTTTGTAAAAAATTAACTGAGATACAGCCGATCAGAATTATACATAGTTTCTTATAACATTAAAAAAACAGCTGAAAAACGAAGGTTTTGATTCTATAACTATATTTATATATTTCATTTCCATTTTAATTTTGTCAATCACTCATCAATATCAACATCTTATTTAACCCGTCATGACTCGCACGTATAATTTGAACACCGTTACTAGCGCATAGAGCGATTCGCTCACCTAGTATATTTCATCATTAATGTAATATTTTAAGAACAAATAATTGATAAATCATAAAATAAACCAATTTTGAATATTCTTTATTAATATATTGAAGAAAAAAAAAATTATATTGACTTGTGTGCTATGAAATGTAATTTTATAAGCTGTTTCCGCAAAATATTAATGAGAAAATAATTAAAATGTATTATGTATGAATGAATTTACAAACTTAAACTAATCATCTAAATCTTCGGTGTTATCATTGCACAAACTGCATAGGGCTAATGTGTGATCTTTACATAATGGCACAGAGCAGCTTGCACATTTTACCTAGGTATAAAATATAAAATAAGAATTGTATATATATTTGAGCTTAGTAGTGTATCTACTTACCACGGTATATCGATTTTTCCTTGCAGAACAGTAAGCACATTTAACTCTTTCTGTAGGTCTTGGGTCCTCTTGAGTTGGTGTGGAGATTTGACCGGTGAAACGATTTATTTGTTTTCGAAGATCAAAAGACAAATTTTTACAATTCAGTCGTTGTACCATAAATGGTTTACAAAGATCTTGTCCAAGAGATTTTAAAAATTGACGTCTACTTATAGTAGTATCAGTGTTGGCTTTATAAATAATTTGGCTATTTATACCAGCAATATTCATAAGAGAAAAAAATATGGTAAGAGGCCATCTACAACTAATCCTCGCTACGGAATATTCACCTTTTAATTCGTCAACAACGTCGACTCCTCCTTTGGTAAGGTTATAAAAAGTAATTACTTCAGGTTAGTGCTTGTGCATTGTTGACAACATCAGTACATTTTTATTTTTTTTTGGTACGTATGATACTAATAAACATTCTTTACTATATCCAAATTTACTACTATTCACTTCTCGTTTCTTTGTGTCCAAAAAAATAGGAGGTATTTCTCTTTTATTTTTTCTAATTGTCCCAACCATAGTAATTTTATGATTTTGTAACAGGTCAACGGCCAATGGAACAGATGTAAACCAATTATCAATGGACAAGTTCCTACCCGTTTTGGAAATTGGAGAGATCATCCTCTTGACAATACTTGATGCACTAATATCTTGATTATAAGGACCATTAGGTTGTTTTCTTACGTAAACCTCCATATTTGTTGTGTAAAATAAACGAGCATTTACGAGTGAAAATATTTTTATACCATACTTGTTAGGTTTGTTAGGAATATATTACCGAAAATTACATTTCCCTCTGAAACCTTCTAGCATCTCGTCAATAGTACAATATTCCCCGACAGTATAATTTAATTTACAGCGATCAACAAATTCATCAAAAATAGTTCAAATAGGTGCTAATTTATTAAATTTTTTCCTTTCATTGCGAGTATTTATGTTATCAAACCTTAGTGCTCGTAATAATAAATAAAAACGCGTTTTAGACCTAACAGCTCTAAAATACTCCGGCGACAACCCATCATTTGACCAAAGATCCGACAAATTTAGATGATTTATTTTCATCATACCAGCTATGTACAAAAGACCGAACAACGCTCGCATTTCTACTACACTCGTATCCAAGACATCTCGTTCCCTACCATAATTTATTCTAATTTTGGTCAAATAGATGTTAGTGTAAGTAACAATTTCTTGAATAACGTTGTCAGAAAAGAAAAGTGACCAAGATTCTATAATTGTTTTTGCATTTCGCGCATGAGGTTTCACTCCCGGTAAATGAGTAATTATATTGCAATGAGCAGTACGGATATTGCGTGGAGGTGGATTTTTTTTCCATTTGGTAATTTTATCCTTGCCCAAATAATATTCATTCTCACCTTCATCGTCAGGTTCTGATTCATCGCCAGTATTTTCATTAGATTTGTCGCTCTCGTAGTTTTCCTCATCATGTCGTTCTACAGATATTGTATTGTCATCATTTTCACTATCATCACTACACGAATCATTTAGTGATTCCATATCTTCATTTAACCACGAACTAATTAACTCACTCATACTTTTGAAAAAATAAAATAAACGGCAAAAAAAGTAAAATATCGAATAAAAAAATAAACAAGTAAAAACGAAAATATGAATGCGAAATTTAAACGCTATTACTCGCGCGTCGAGTGATTCGCTCACAAAATACGACTAGTTGATTTCGGAAAGCAATAGGTATCGTTATCGGAACGCAATCGTGCCAGTCAACTAATAAATCTATTTTTAAATACTTCGTCATAAGGTACTATGAATTTGGGAAAAATATAACAACCCATAAGCCAGTGGTTACCAACCTAAAAACTATGTGAGGGAAATTCTCACACGCGAGCAATGACGGGTTAAAATAATAATTTATACATATTGTGCATCAGGCCAATATAACCTTGAATCGCTTGTGAGCTGCCGAACCTTCGTCTTCGTCGTCGTCGTCAACGTAGTCGTGGACACGACTTTCTCGTGCACCTTCGGTGCAGATATAAGGGGCAGGTCACTGCGATCCTCGTCATCGATGTCAGCTTCGTTGGTATGAGGTTGAGATAAGTTTTCGTATGCTGTGCACACGCAGTGTTTGCATACCTCAGACCATAATAGTCCAGCCTTTTTACAGCTGCAGCCAGCAGTAGCACAACCGGGGCAGCATCCATTGTTGTGGTGATGGGAACGACACCTATAAACAAATGAATCAGTTAATACACGTGTATTGATCATTATTACAAATATTAATAGTAGTATAATATCGTGTGGCAAGTTTTAAGAGTTAAAATGTACTTCTACAGTATAATTTGTCTGCAAGAGGATTAAAAGAATAAAGTATTTTAAAATAACTATTTCAGTCTAGAATAATCGATAAACATTGATACGTGCATATACGAATGACAGCTATGGTCTAAGTTATAAACTTAAAAATAACTTCACTTCGGGTGTATCAGCTGGATTTCTTGATAATATTATAGGTACATACTACATAGGTATATATGTATAATACATTACCACCAGAATGTGTAATCGACAAAGAACTATTTCTTAGTATTTTAGTAATCTTATGTTAATAGTCTTTGATAATAGTTAAAACTTTTTCATGGGCAATATCCATTTCCAATATTTAGTTGACATTTGGTTTACGTTCTGACGTTTTAGTGTGCTACGATTTACGAAGTGTTTAATTTATTTACTTGAAATAGCAAAAAGACAAAACACTATGATGAATAATTTCTTTATAAAAAGCCTAAATTAAATTTATTGGAAAATCTTTATTGTCCAGAGTTGAACAATGAAACATCTACCTCAAACGTTAATATTTATGATATTGGGAAATATTTGAATCAAACTGTAAGTAAGAAGTATAAATTATTAGTAAATAAATGGACACCCGATGAAACTTATAAATTTCCCATAGTTGGAAAAAGAAATTTAAAATTCCAGTTTAATTGGTTTAAACGATTTTCTTGGCTTGCTTACACAACAATAGCTGAACAAGAAATAATGTGCACGTTTTGTGTTTTATTTGCCAGGGATTTCGGATGAAAGGGAAATCATCAACAATTGGGAATCTTAGTTAATAAGCCATTTAATAATTGGAAAAAAGCTATTGAAACTTTATCCCATCATATCACAACACAATTTCATAAAAATAGTGTAATATTTGGTGAAAATTTTATTAACACGTATACCAAACTTCAACCAGATATTCGACAACAACTCGATTCCGCAAGAGCTCTACAAATTTCTGAAAATAGAAAAAAACTCGTTCCAATTATAAAAACAATTATTTTATGTGGCCGACAAGAGTTAGCACTTCGAGGGCGAAATGATTCGGGTCCTCTTGATTTAAATATTGTTGAACCTGATCATAATGATGGTAATTTTAGAGCACTGTTGCGTATGCGAATTTCATGCGGAGACAAACAATTAATTAATCATATTGAAAATCAGTCTTTAAACGCTATGTACATAAGTCCTAGTTTACAAAATAATTTTATTAAGATTTGTGGGAAAATAATTCAAGATAATTTAGTTTGTAAAATTAATGCAGCGAAGTCGTTTTTGGTTCTCGTTGACGAAACTACCGACATATCACGCATAGAGCAATGGACTCTTTGTATTAAATATATAGATTCAGTAGAGACAACTGATACTATTAATTATGTTTTACGTGAAGACTTTTTACAATTTGTACCGGTTCACAGTACAACTGGTCAAAACCTAGCCTCTGTAATAATAAATTCATTACAAGCACTTGGAATTAACGATAAATATATGGTCGGTCAGGGTTATGATGGCGCTGCGTCCATGAGTGGAAATCTTAAAGGCGTCCAAACTATTATAAGGGAAAGTCATCCAGCAGCACTTTACGTGCATTGTAGTGCGCACTCTTTAAATTTAGCGCTAGCTCATTCGTGCAATATTCAATACGTCAGAAATTGTATTGGTACAATAAAATCTATTGGAAATTACATTAAAAGTTCGGCTATGCGGACAAATATATTAAAAACTAAAATAAAAAACATTTTACCTAATACCAAGTGGACTAAACTGACATTAATGTGTGACACTCGTTGGGTTGAAAACCACAACGGAATTCAAAGATTTGTTGAAATTTTCCAACCCATTGTTGAAACTTTGGAAGAATTACAATTAGTTCAAGACATCAATACGTCATCAAAATCAATTCAATTTTATCGAGCAATAGTTACTAGTGAATTTATATTAAGTATGGTTACATCAAATACTCTGTTTTTAATGACACTTCCACTGTGTAAAAGTTTATTATCAGTTAGTTGTGATTTAGTAGAAGTTGTACAACATAGCGAGACAATACTAAACGAATTAATTCATTTACGTGAAAATATTGATCAAACGTTAAATGACATTTTTGAAAAATCTGAACTTCTTTTAAAATCTATTGATGGAGAAGAAAATATTAGAATTCCCAGAATAGTAGCTCGTCAACAAAATCGTGTGAATATTGTTACTAATTGTCTGAAAACATATTTTCGTATAACTATTGCAATACCATTTTTTGATGATTTTATAAGACAATTAAAAGAACGCTTCACTAACCATAAAAAAATAATATCTCCGCTGTGCTTTTTACTTCCCAATAAATGTACTAATTCTGAATTAGAAGCAAGTGATTTCGAATTATACTCAGAGTTTTTAGATTTGGATGCACTTTCGAACGAGTTAAAACTTTGGAAAAGAAAATGATGTGATAAACCAATATTAGAACGATCTCCTGAAATACTTGAAGCATATTCAAATTGTAACAAAAATTTTTTCCCAAATATTTCATTTTTATTAAAAGTTTTGGCAACTTTACCAGTAACTACGGCGACACCGAAAAGAACTTTTTCGACGCTGAAAAGAATAAAAAATTACCTAAGGAATGCAACTGGAGAAGACCGATTGACTGGCCTAGCATTACTCAGTGTACATAGGAATATCGTTGTAGATCCAGAAGAAGTAAACAATCGTTTTTCAAATGAAAAACAAAGAAATAGAGTTTGTCATATAAAATATAAACCATTTTTCAAACTAAATGTATAGAATTAAGTTTAATAATCAAATTAATATTAATTTTAAAAATTTTTTAATGTGAATTTCATTAATAAATACTATTTATAATTCTACAATATTATGAATTTTTAACCATATTTAATTACCTACACAATATTATAATACGATTAGAACACACATTTTTGGCTTTAATTTCTAATGCTACAGGAGCAGGACCTCATAGTGTAGTAAAAAGATGGAGTAAAACGGAAAATAAGGAAATCGAAGTACCCTGTCCAGATGTTATCAAGTCATATAACCAGTACATGGGAGGCATAGATATATGTGACCAACAAATGGAATGCTACCGTACGTGGATCAAATCGAGAAAATGGACATTAAAAGTTGGACTACATTTCATTGACATAACCATCGCCTGGATGGAATATAGAGAAGACGCTCAAAAGTTACTAAAACGTAAAAATGAAATTATGGACCTTGTGAATTTTAAAATCGCTGTTGCTAGAGAATGATTAACTAAATCTCCAAATAAACGTGTACTATCATCTGAAGAATCAAATTCGTCTGACACCGAGGAAAATCAGTTGACAACACAGAGACCTCAAAACTGTAGGGCACCAGTCCCACCAACAACCAAAGTGAAGGATAAATTTGAGCATTGGCCAGAAGTGTGTAACATACCAAATTCAAAATGCTGTAGGATGAAGGGATGTAAAAACCGATCAAGAATCAAAAGTGTGATATTTATTTATGTCTAACTGCTAAAAAAAATTGTTTTACAATTTTTCATAAAACATAAAAACAACATCGAAAAAAACCTCGAAACATGCTGGTAATATAATGGATTCAACAAAGTCAGCAACCTCAGTGATGTTTTCTGTTGATGCCGCTGGTTCAATGTTACCTCTTTATATTGTATATAAATCCACACAGTTATGGGATTCATGGACTACTGGAGGTCCAGAAAAATGCAGGTATAATCGAACGCCATCTGGGTGGTTCGACCAAAGTATTTTTGAAGATTGGTTCATACCTCTTGTTATACCCCATTTTCGACGGTTGGAAGGTAACAAAGTAGTTATTGGGGACAACCTAGCAAGTCATATGTCAATGAAAATTATAATGAATATAATAATTTAAATAAGACAGACAAATACTATACACCAACTAACTATAAGACCGAAGAAAAAAAAAAAAAACTGATGAAATAATTGTTAATGATTTTGTTATGGTCAAATTTGAAACAATTAAAAAAAACATTGTAACGTTTATGGGCCAAGTGACTGAAATAGAAGAAAATTAATATACAGTGAAACCTCTGAATAGCAGACACTCTCGGTCACCAAAATGTTGTCCGTTATTCAGAGGCAGGGCCGCAGCTAAGGGGGGGCTAGGGGGGTCTTTTGCCCCGGGCGGCAAATTTTTAGGGGCGGCAAAATATAAAAACATTTTTTTTTTCTAACACTTTGAAATGCTACGATAATTATACGCGCGTACCGCCGACTTATTTATACCACAATAACGACGGTCGACGTCGGGTATCCGCAAGCCGCAATTTTTGATATGGCAAAATAACAATACAATTAATATTTGTCACTGTAATTCATTTATTCTGTAGTATAGGTAATAATATAATGTTATCGGAAGTTTTGCAGCTATCGTCGTATTCTGGGAAAAATTAGTACATTAATGTTATCTTTGATCGTGCGGTTGTTTGTGAACATAGATCTATGTTCATGAGTTTTGATTATCATTTTATATTTTTAATGTACTAGCGCGATCACACTATAATCATTTATTTTTATGATTCGTGATTCGACGACTGACGTGTAACGTGAAAGTGTACAAAGTGTCTACATATACAACATCTTAGAGTTGTAAATACGGTAAGAAAATTTTTAATAATTAAAATTTATTTACGGTAAAAAAATTCGTAAGTGTGTTGTAAAACGTGGCTTGAGCCATGCGTTAAACCAACCGTTTATATAGTTACATATCGTGGGCTTGGAATCAAAGAGTTCTATGTGACAATATCTAAATTGTTCAGTAGAGCGTTTTTAAGGTTCAATAATTGAAATATCGTATTTTCGATTTTGAAATATTTGGAATCAAAAAATGCAGATTTGATGCATTGAAAGATGTTAATAGTAAATTTGGTTTTTTGAGTGGTTCTCAAATAAACGAAATAGATTCTACAACTTTACAAGTTAGAGCTAAAACATTAGCTGACAGTTACCCGGATGATCTAAATAAAGAAGAGCTTGTTAGTGAAATAGAAAGTTTTAAATTCCATGCCTTTGAAATTGACAAAAGTCTGAGAAATGCGACAGCGCAGTCTACTTTTAAAGTTATTTATGAGCAACATCTAGAAGAGATCTACCCAAATATTACGATAGCCCTACAAATATTTCTAACAATTTCAGTCTCTGTTGCTTCGGCGGAAAGAAGCTTCAGTAAACTGAAACTTATAAAAAATTATTTAAGGAACACTATGAAACAACAAAGATTAAACAATTTAAGTATAATATCAATTGAACATCAAAGAGCATCATCAATCTCATTTGAAGAAATAATTAAAACATTTGCAGCCAAAAAATCAAGAAAAATCAAATTTTTATAAATATTTAATATACACTTTTAGTTTTTAAGAATAGCTTTGTTATGTATATTTTGCCTGAAATACAAATAAAAGTTTTAGCATGCATTTTTATGTCTTAATTTTTCAGAAAACCTAACTTATCATTCAACAACAGTATAATAGCATATTTGTCACTTAACATCCAAATAAATATTAAATATTTTAGAATTTTCTCAAACTTATATTGTAATAACAACACTGAAATTTATTTGTTAATTATTGGGGCTGAGTGATGGAAAGAGGGGCGGCAAAATTAGAGCTTGCCCTTCCTAGAATAATGTGTGGCTGCGGCCCTGTTCAGAGGGGATACATTTTTGAAATTTATTTGTATAATAATCTACTATGTATGTATATGTATGTACATATAATGATATTACTTATTATTTATTATAAATTGTTATATTTTTATATTTTTACAAATTATGTACATATTATTAATTATTATTATTATTTAAAGTATATTTACAATCAAAATCAAAATTATGAACATGTATTTTTAAATTATTTTTGTTTGAAAAAATCCGTGAGCTTTGTCTGTTTATAATTACACCGTCTCTGTACAATCTCATTGGTAATATTTGCTAATGTTACAGCAGAAGTAAAAATAGAACTGCTCTTTACCTCTATTGATGAAATAAAATTACTCACGCTCTTTACAGCAGACAAAGCATCCTGTAAACTTGTTACTTGATATTTTGAAGTTTCTGCTTCTTCGGGCTCGTCTTCTTCCTCATTTTCGGGCTTATCGGGCTCATCAGGATCATCGGTGCCCGTTAAATTGGTGTCGTGGGTGAATATGAATTTGTCTAATTCAAAATACGTCTTTACTTCAACACTGTTGTCGATCAGTGTGACGAGAGCTAAAAGTTCTTCATCTATTACCGATTGTTCTTCGGTATCAATTGTTTGTCCTGATTGTTCATCGTCTTGGTGACTGAAACCACATCGTAAGAAGCATTTTTTTACAGTTTCAGGCTTGACTTGGGCTTGAGCAGAAGCCACCCAATACACAGCATCCAAAACATTTATAGTGCTAGAGTCTCCAACATCTAAATCAGCAATTGCTTTTTGTAACAGTTGCTTACGATAGAGCTTTTTAAATTGTTGAATTATGCCTTGGTCCAGAGGTTGACAGTGAGACGTCATATTTGGGGGAAAAAAGACTAGCTCAACATTTTGTAGTTTAAGATGGGGATGAGGAGCTGCATTTTCGACAAAAAGTAGTACTTTTCTTCGACTTTTTATCATTTGTTTATCAAATTTCATAAGCCAGTCTGTCATAATCTGTGTCGTCATCCAGGCCTTTTTATTCCAACACCAGTCAACGGGAAATTTATTTGCGTCTAATTTTTTGAAAGCTCGCGGTCGTTTTGCCTTACCTAGGACAAGAGGACGTTCAAACTCACCAATCATATTACAGCACAATAGCACAGTCAACCGTTCTTTTGAAACTTTTCCACCGCTGCAAGTTTCATTTTTAAATGCTTTAGTTTTATTAGGTAGAACTTTTAAAAAAAGCCCAGTCTCGTCGGCATTGAAGATGTCTCGCTTTTCATATTTATCAATTATGTTTGGTAATTTTTTCTTCCAGTCATCAACAGCTATTCTATCAACGGCTGAAGCTTCGCCACAAACAGATTTATACGAAATGTTATGCCGTTTTCGAAATTTTTCAAGCCACCCGTTTGAAGCTTTAAAATCATTTAATCCGTGAACTTCAGCTTGTACTCCGTTATACTTACCCTTCATGTTAGCGCCGTTGTCGTAATTTGCCCTCTATAATCTTCTATATTTTTGCCAATTTTATCTAACTCCGAAAGAATAGTCGAACTAATATTTTCTCCAGTTGATGAATGTATTTCTACAAATTTAATAAAATTATCTTCAATTTTAATTTTTTCAGAATGCATATCTACAATTCGATGCACAAAACATTGTAATACCAGTCTGATATGTTGTACCCTGTACAATTATGTCCACCCTGTATATTTTATTTTTGTATAGTCAATCAATTCTTTCAATCACTGGCCTACGTGACTGCGGACATGCGAGCGAGCCTTTGGAATCTGCCGAGTGGACATATTCCAGGACTCGCTC